GCTTGTACAGCGGCAGTAACCTCCTTCATTTTATTCTCTGCATCTTTTAAAGTCATTTGAATGTCGGTCTGTTGCTGCTTATCAAGTTCTGCTTCTTCATCCACTGCCTTGACATCAGCCTCCAGTCCAATCCTGTAGTCATCATTAGAGTCAAGAACTGACCTGAACCGGTCTGAAAGTTTTCCAAATTCCTCTTCTAATTCGGTTTTCAGCATGATGTCTGCTCCTCTTGAAATATAGTTGGCTAGTCTGGTGAAGCTGCTTTTAGCGCTGGTCCTCTCCTGCTTCAGCAGTTTGACCGTCTTCCCCAAGACCTCTTCTGCCATCTTTATTTTCTCTAGCGTCCACAGCTTTTCTGGTTTGAAGCCCTTTATCTCCTTTTCCAGGGTGCTCTGTGGTTATCAACTGTCAAGCTCCACACTAGTTTCACTCTAAAGGGACACTTTGGGACAACTCCATCACATTCCAACAATTTTTATTATGTCAGTTCAGTGAACATTAGGTTGATAACCTTCAAAGAACAGAGATAAGTGTTAGATGTCACATCATTTATATAAAATACAATAAACAAAGAACTTCTAAACTAAATCTTCCCACACTAACAGTGTAAACAATTAAATTAAAGCATGACTTCAAAGGTCACCCAAAACAACTTCATATCATAAATAAAACAATAGTTACCAACCATTGGCGTCTTTAGAGTCAACTCATTGTTAGAGCTTGCTGTGCTGTTCCTGTTTGACTAAGGACTGAGAGCCACCACCCTGCATAGGTGTTTTTTATCACCAATCAGTCGCCATTTTGTTGGTGCATTCTGGGAGATGTAGTTCTCAGTGGTGGTGGACCAGTTAGACCTCCATTTACTCAACTTTAACCCAACACTAGGGGTCTTAGCACACCTCTGTTGTTGCTTGGCTTCCTGGGGCTGGAGGCTAGGAGGGAGATCTGGCTGTCTGGGTGGGGTCTGGGATGATGGGTTGCTGTGCTCAGTGTTGGGCGGGGGAGACTGCTCATCAGCACCCCAGCAGAAAGGGTCAAACTCTGGTAACCGGTGATGGTTGTACCCAATGTGCAGCAGTACCGGGACCAGAGTGAATAGGGTGTGTATGGGGAGCATGAGTGGATGTCCAGCGTGCATTTTTGTAAGTCTTTGGTTGTATGTGCATGTGTGAGCATGAGGGAGAGAGTGTGTGACTGTGTTTGTGTATGACTGTATATGTCAGGTGGGGCCTTTGACTCCTCCCCTCTCCTGGGACTTCTTTTGATGATATAGATCTTTGTCTCCCCTCCCCCTGCCACACCTGGTGTGGGGTGTGGTGCCTTGGTCTGCCTGAGTGTTCGTGGCTCCCGGGTCAGGGGGTTTAAGATCTTTGGCGTCTGCCTGATAAATCCCGGTGGCGGCCTGGTGGGGTCTGGGTCCCTGGGCTCTGCTGGGTCCCCAACGGGGGGTGGTCGCCCTTGGGTCCCGGGTCGCTGGGTCCCGGGCTCGGCCGGCTAGGGGGTAGGAGGCTGCGGGCGGTCCTGAGGGCTTGCTGCTGATGTCTCCCGGGACTCTGCCGGCTGCTGGTTGTGGCCCCCCGGGGCAATCCTCTGTGCCTCTCGAGGGGTGCGGGGCCTTTCTGGTTGCAGTTTCCTTGGGGTTCCTGTGTTCTGGGGCAGCGCCTGGATCTCTGGGACTTGGAGCTCCCCCCGTCTCCTACGCATCTTTGGGGGGCAGGTCTGTGGTCCCTCACACTCTCTGTTGGACGCTCCTGTAGATAAACCTTACATATACAAGCGCGTGTACACACACAGGTGCTCACATGGTGCTCTCAAAAGTATGGGCTTGGGCACGTTAAACACAGGTCTCAAGACCATGGTGGGCACTTAATGCACTGTGATTTATTATCGTGTGACTGTTCAGTTAACCAATGTTGATTATATATTTCTTCATCAAGTTGACGCAGTGATAGCTTGATCTTGTTGTATTGTTGTTGTGTCCCATTTTATTTATTTATTTTTTTTTGCTTTTTTTCTTGACTCTTTCTGCAGGTCTAGAAGCACACTCTTGTTCATTATTGTTTATTTTTGTGCAACATCCCCTCCCCTTCCCCCTCTCTCCCCACCTTTTGTCTTTTCCTTTCTCTTTCACCTCTGACTCCGTGTCTGGTCGGAATTACAAAGCATTCAAAAACAACAACAATAAAGTTTTAAGTATCAGGCGTGACATTAAAAGCAGACGCTTTGATGATCCACCTGAGAGTAAATCTGTAAGGCTTGTTACCAGCATTCAGACATCAATTCTGTTTGCTTCACAGCCAGACAGGACACGGTAAAAAAAAAAAGTCCCTACATCACACTCATTCTCATCCCTCCCACACCAATTTAAAAGCATTGTCACAGTCGTGCCCCACCCCCCAACTCCCTTCCACACACCCACCTAAGAACACCAGTAAAAATGATTATGGGCTGAGTTCAGATGAGCTACGTATGGTGAGGCAAGGAAACGCCATAAGAGGAGCCATCTGCCCCAGCAGCTGCTGGCCAACCGCAGCAGCCAAGGCACCAACAGAGGGTGAAAGGGAAGAGAGGGCATACACCCCATCTCCACCAAAGCACTACCTCGGGAGCACCCAGGCAGAAACAATTGACCACCATTGTGGGGCAATTAGAATGCCCACACCTGCTCAGTGCCTTTCAGTGGGTGCAACTCCAGAGTGGTAGAGTGTCCAACCCCTCTTAATGAAGCCATGAGTTGAGGTGAGTCTGATTATATCTTGCTGGAACCTCTCAACCTCACACACCAACTCAGACTCATTTGTAGTCGTAAGGGGTCTTTGGGCTGCACTTTGTCTTATCGCTTACCTAGGACCTGTTGCCATGGGTTTCCCAGAGGCATAAACCCTCAAACAACTTAGCTCCAAGGATCATTGGGACAATCAAACCCCACCACGTGGGGGTGATGGCGGCACAGGAGTTAGGTACTCACCCCGTAATCGGAAGGTTGTGAATTTGAGCCCCGCTCAGTTTGTCACTGTCGTTGTGTCCTTGGGACACTTAACCCCCCCTTGCCTGCTGGTGGTGGTCGGAGGGACCAGTGGCGCCAGTGCTTGGCAGCCTTTCCTCTGTCGATGCACCCCAGGGCAGCTGTGGCTACAACGTACCTCATCACCACCAGGGTGTGAATGTGTGTGTGAATGGGTGATTGTGTTATAAAGTGCTTTGGGGGTTTCCAGGACTCTAGAAGGCGCTATATCAAATACAGGCCATTTACCTTTTACCACCAAGTGGCAGTTTTATAGTATGCTGTGTATTTTGTCAGGGCTGGTTTACATGTGCTTTGGTGGAGCAAAGGTTAGGACTTTGCCCTGTTATCTCTGGTTTGCTGGGTTGATCCCCAGTTTTTAACATTTATTTACTGAACAAAGCTCCAATTACACTGCAGTGAAGATTGTAATGAAACATTAAAATGGACAAATACTTTGGTCCACAACTATACTGTACCTAATTTTGTAAAAATAAAATTCCATAATATTGTCAAAAAATATATTGTGTGTTTATTATATTGATTATTGATTGATTGATTGATTGATTGATTGATTGATTGATTGATTGATTGATTGATTACATGCATGGTCTTCTTAACTCCTGCTGCACAGATGTCTTCTGTCTGATATAACTGATGATTCTGTGCTCAAATAAATATAATATATAAATGTAATATATTAAACACTAAACAAAACAATTAGGGTTCAGTACAATCAACATAAATGTAGTTGCGGACAAGAATAAAGAATGTGTGTGTGTGTGCGTGCGTGCGTGCGTGTGTGTGTGCGTGCGTGCGTGTGTGTGTGTGTGTGTGTGTGTGTGTGTGTGTACATAAAAGGACCAAGCAGTTTACCTGCACACTAAGCACATTAATAGCAAAATGAGGACATTTTGCTGGTCCTCACTTTGGGACTATGTTACAGAGCTCTACTCGTTAGTTTTTGAGGTATGGTGTGAATTAAGTTTTAGTTCAGATTAGGGTTAGGAAACGACTGGTCATGGTTAGAGGTAGGGTGAGGGTTAGGCACACTCCAGTCACTAAAATGAATGGAAGTCAATGACGGTCCTCACAACAAATGCTAGACAAGAATGTGTCTGTGTGTGTACCTGAGTGTGTGTACGAGCATGCGTGCATGTGTGTTTGCGTGTGCGTATGTGCATGCATGTGTGTGTGTGTTCGTACACGAGTGTGTGTGTGTGAAGTCAGTAAAGTGACTGATAGATATAAGGAAACATGGCAGTTGTGTGTTTGTGTTGACGATGTGATTTAGATGTCTTTGTGGGCTGATCCAAAGTCTTTCAGCTTCAGAGGCCCAACAGCTGCTGTAGTGCAGGTCTGGGATCCCAGGAGATTTTGCCGGTAAAAACGCTGTTTGTGCACTGATGTCCTGCCTTCGTCACTGCTCTGGATGGGAGAAACAGAATCTCATCTGGGAAGTGGAACACCCTGGTTGCAGCCCACCAAGGCTTGCTGCCGGTATGCCAGAGAACTTTGTTGGCATGGCATGAAACACATAACTGAGTTGATCTGAGGTTTACAACCTGAGCTCCTTACACCAATTAGGCTGGACCTCGAAGGCAAAGCAGCATAGGGTGAAGTTTTTACAAAGCCACAAGGGTCTCTGGGATAGATGGGTCGGTTTTGAAGTTTTTCAGGGGTTGCATTGGGGTGGGGGGCAAGCTGGGAATGTGCTAATCCCAAGTTTCTTTTATCGGAGCCTGTCAGAGGATCCAGAGGTACAAAACACACTAGTTAAAGAGTTATTAAATCACAGTTAGCCTCAGAAAATAATTTCATGAAGTTCATGTTTGGATCACAAGGATGAACAAGCACAGACAGAGGGTAAAGGAGGCTGATCAATATCAAAAAGGTTTATTTTCCTGGCCTGTGACACAAAAAACAATACAAAACTCATCTTAAGTTAAAAGGATTTGAGGTCCAAAAAAATTACCCTTAAAAAAGATCCCTTTTATTGTGGCCATTGAAGTAAGGTCATGATACCTGGGGGTTTGTCCGGGATATTGTTTGGTAGGAAACTTTTGGCAGCAGTAAACATAACAGTTTGATCCTGTTCTGTTGAGGTTGTCTTGGTGTGTCTCCCTTCTTCTCTCATAGCCAAGTCATGACAATATGAGTTAATAGATAGTCCCTAAAGCAAGAGACAAGCCAACAACAAAGTGGTTATGAAAAACGTCTTCTTCCAGCAAATATTTAACAACTCATACATTTTGAAGAATCAGCTCAAATTCAATGGTTAATAAACTGCATTTGTGTAAACTTCTGAGCAAACATGCAAAGTCAGAGGGGTGGAAAAAGATTTGTGAAGGTACTTATTATAAACCAAAGACTAATTCAATTATAAACATGTATCTAAGTAAGAAAATTGTTTCTGAGCTTCTTTGTAAAGGTTTGTTTCCCCTGGATGGAGAAGGTATGAAGGGAGCCAAGAGTTTTTCACACAAGCCTTTCAGTCTGCAACTCAAATCCCTCTAAAGGCTGATGAAATGCACAAAATAGCAAACAATCTGTTTTTATTTTATTTTAAACTGACTAATAAGTTAAAACAAAAGAGAATAAGTAAATAAAGTGAGAATCAATCATCAACCTGTCACAGATTTGCAGACTTTGTCCCTACAGGGGGCTGTTGGTGATGGCTTTTAGAATGTCACAGGTGTTTTTGGAGATGACTTCTTTTAGTTTCCGTACACGACGAGGACTGGAAGATCCCACAAAGCTCTCTGGCTGGATCACAGCCATGCCATCGCTGGCATTGCCCATGACGATGACCTGGCCCTCTGCTGCTGCTGCTGTGATGTTTGGGCATGGGCAGCTCCAGTCCATGTTGAGAAAAGTGACCTCAAGAGGTTCCTTACCAAAAAAGCGCAGACCCATCTTATCATCTTTGAGGATCTCCTCTACGGTCACGAGGGCATGGCCTGAGTCCTTCTCCTGTGTGAGCTCCATCATGTGACCAATGATGACAAAGTCACTCCGGCAGAAGCTTGTCACCATCTTGCCTTTTGCCTTGCAGGCTTTGCAGTGATGGGTTTTTGGGAAAGGGCAGGCCTCCTCACAGGTCTGTTTTGATTCAAAGTTGTTGTCGTTGCCTTCACAGCCTCCATAAATGAAGGAGTGACACTCCTGCAGGCTGCTACTGTAGGCCCATCGGGGCTCGTACGCCTTACAGGGGCCCTGCAGGGTGGGGAGTCTGCAAGGGACTGGTAGCTCTGGGCTGCAGCACCGCATGCAATCTTCATATGTGTCTAATAGCTTTGCAGGTGGCACACTGTTGTGGTTGCCATGACAATGTGTGAAGGCCATGCAGTTGTTGGTGTGAGGCTCGTAGTACCAGCTGATTTTGTCCAGGTCACTCCCACAATCTTCTGGGGCATTAGTAGGTTTGATACACTCTTCAGGTGAGCAACGGGTCAGGTTCCAGGGCCCGGGGGTGATGAGCCCCCCTGCAGGCAGCACCGTGAGGCTGTGGTGGGCCTGCACTGACCCAGAAGGATTCTGAGCCGTACAGGTGTAAACGCCTGAATCTTTCAGCTGAGCGTTGTAGATGACCAGCTGACCGATGTTAGTGACCACCATGTTCCCTCTCACGTGGTTGGGCCTCATGAGCACTCTCTCTGCCCAACCCGGCAGACGCTTCTCCCAGCTGAGCTCGGGCCGCGGTTGACCCGTCACATCGCACAAGAAGCTGGCTGTGTCACCCACATTCACAGTCTGGTGGGAGGGACCGCCCACAACCACTGGAGGCTGAGGCTCTGTGGGAGGGGGGGCGGTGGCCTGAAGAGGAGCAGTGGTTGGACGAAGGGTGGTCATCTCAGGTACTGAAGGGCTCATGTTGGGCCAGGTGAGGTGGAAGCGACAGGTGACAACAGAAAGCGTGATGCCCTTTGAGCAGGCCTCCGCGTCCATGAAGCACTTGTTGAAGTACGTCATGCCGTCGGAGGCGCAGGTGAAATGTGGCTCCCGCTCACAGCGGTCCCGACATTTACACATGGGGTAGTCGTCCCAGATGACACACTCAGAGCCCTGCTGGGTGCACATGAAGCTAGCGCAGGACGCTTCCTTGGGCATTCCCATGGGACCCTTCTTCCCATCCACATAGCGGGCCGCCACACAGCTTCGATTCCCACAGACGTTTTGGCAGCACTTCTCAAAGGACTCACACTCCTGAAAGACAGGAAGGAACAGCGTTACTGCACCAGACAGTGTGTGACTGTAGCAGTTCTGTGTTCAGCTATTAGCATCATGCTACTCTACGTTCTCAATCCACTAGGGTATTGTCATTCAAAATGCAGGGATGGTGAAAATCAGACAGCCATCTTGAGCCTATTCCACACTGACTGTGTAATGGATGCAGTCTGGTTTTTCTACAACTTCCTCATACACCAAAAATCATTGAGTCCAATCAGAACATTCACACCAGCCGCAGTGCAGCGTAGACCTAGAGGTCCTTCTGGTCATCGCATGCGGATTGTCATGAAGTTAAAGAAATGACATTAGCCAGACAGGAAGTGAGATGTGTTTCAGCAGTATGCACACAGAACATTTCAAAATAAAATGAGTGCTGCATTATTTTTTCCAGTTTTAGTTTATTATTAATGACGGGGATGTCAGTTCACAGTGTATGATAGTTCACCGTGTTATGTTAATATTTATAGATTTCTAATCCGTTGGTGCTCTGGAGGGAGCAGATGTTCAGCAGTCCGTCTGGAAGCCAGGTGGAAACTGGGCCGCGCTCAGGGTGAAGCGGTCCTGACAGTGAAAGGCTTTCTGTGTTGAGGAGGTATTTTTATAAAGTTTTTAATATTTTTGTTGTTTTTTAAAATGGCCTCCAATTACGCTTTTGTCCTCCACGTGTGATCAGAGTGGGTGGACTCAACGAAAAAGTCTGAGTAGGAACAACAGCAAATGAAGATGACACGTAGTCATCAGAGTCAGAAACAAGGATTTTAATGGAAATGAGGATTTTCTGTTCATTCTGTATCTCCTTTCATAAGAAGATGATAAAACAGAAGGGGGGCCTCACATTGAATCATTCTGGATCCTAAGCACATCTCTCCACTTTAAACAGTCTGAGGTCAGACTGCAACAGAGTGAGCAGCACGGGGTAATCTACTCAGATTACTTAAAAACGGGTAACTGGAATACGGACGGCTGCACACAGAGGTGATGGGTTGTCCCCAGATTCAGTTTTTTTGTTTAAGTTAATTAAAATATTCAGGATCAATGATATATTTGATGATCACACAAAGATAAACAGAATAAATAGTTTTCAAACCGTTGTTTGTAAAACTAAGTTCAGTTTCACCGGCCAGCAGAATCTGTCCGTCAACATGATGTAAGCTAAAGGATCTCAAAAAGCAGTGCATCAGGTCCTTTCTAAATAAATTAGTCATGTTTAACTCGGGTTTACTCACGTTTAACTCAGGTTTAACCCGGGTTTAACGTGGGTTTACTCAGGTTTACTCGAGTTGTTGTTATCTTTAGTGGAAAAAGGCAAAAAGGGAAGTAAGAAAGAACCAAATAATTCCGAGAATCAGTTATTTGGTGTTTTATTGTTAAAATCTCACAAAAATGTTTCCTTTAGCTGACTCAGACACTTGATTGTAACATTTTTACTTTAGCAGCTACAACAACAGTTAGACCAGGTGACCAGTTCCAGCAACCATCACCAGTTTTAGTTCGTTCAGCTCTCTGCTGTAATACCAATTATTTAGTTTTATTGGACTGAGGACAAACAGCTGAACTCTGTACCTGATCAGATTCACACTCTCGGGTGCAGGTGCTCATGGCATCCACCCACAGGTTTGGGTTCATGTCATTGGGGCAGATGCCCGCGTGTGAGTAGGTGACCGCCAGGCTGAGCTCCATCCACGCTGACGCGCACGCCAGGAAGCAAATCCACGTTGGGAACATCCAGCGCATCTCCATCAGAGTTGTGCGTCCGGGGATCCGGCTGAGAATTGTTCTGCTGATGTAAAATATCCGCTGGCTGAAAAATAAAGAAGAGTCGATCTCAGCTGGTGGTGTTTGCAGAGCTCCTGGTGTGCAGCATCACCCTCAGCAACATGACAATTGCAGGTTTCTCCTCCAGAGCAGAAGCAGGAAGGAGCGTTTCCACAAGTCAGTGTAGTTGAGCCGGGGTTGGCGGGGCACCTGAGCACAATCATCTCTGGTAACCCGGATTAACCCTTTGCGGTCTCCGGCGGCGCCAGAGCGCACAGCGAACCAAGACGCACGGAGTGGCGGGCTCGGGTGAATACTGGATCCAACAAGATTTACTGAACGAGCTGGAGGAATTCAAGTCTGGACAGATGACAGTAATGTGCAACAAAGCAGTCGGGTACTAATGTTTAGCTGCGCAGGAATAAACGCTGAAGTTGGTGAGAGGACTCAGAAACACGACGGTTTCAGAGAAAGCCTACGAGAGAACAGGAGACTCAATAAAATAAACATTGAGTTTAAAAATGTAAATAAAGGCTTTTCTATTTTAACCTGCAGCTCTGGTGTCACGTGACCCTAAACGTTTTAAAATTAGGATCAAAATAACCACATGTGCACGAGGAATAAATATCAGACACAGAAACATGACGACAAAAATAAAATTAAGTTTTATAAAATAATATAAAATTAAATTACATGTCATTTCATTTAATTAAATAAATTAAGTTAAATAAAATCTAATTAAATAGTGGTGAAATGATGACGTGAGCAGCAATTACGTTCACGTGAGCAAAGAAAAATAAAACTAGAAGTAAGGAGAAATACTAAAAAAATTCAGAGAGATTCAGACATCAGGAGGTTATTATACGGAGTGATGGAGAAATGCACATGAGAAATGATTGTAGCAAATGATGGAACGTTGCAAAAGTTAGTTTCTATTGTGTTTATGAATTAACCTGTTTGACCTTTTTAAATCTTTACAGTTTTTCTCAATTGTTTACTCACATTTTCTGAAAGCATGCCCCATATTTTCAGAACTCTACACACAAATCCAGAAAATACACACAAAATGGGCAAAACCCCTAACTTAACCTACAAAATTAAACTTCACATTCAAAACATTGTACTTCCTCCTCAAAATGTGATTTTGTTGTCAAATGACACACACAAACCATCATATGAATAGACATTTATAAGAACCAGCAGAACACTCATGTGCTCAATGTAAAACACTATGATGAATGGAAAACACGTCTTCTCCATTCATCACAATGACTAAAGCCTTTTTGGTTCAGTGTTACACCTACTATACTACAGACAGTAAATACATGCATGTGTTGTTATTTCAGAATATTGTTTTTACACTCTGAACACACAAATACATGTAGAAATTATTTTATTTTTCCCACAAAACATTGTACACAATGTTCATCCCATTCCCAACCAACACAAAGTTGCACACAGAAACTACATCCAACAGATATTTACTGTATACAGTTACAGTAAAAAATAAAACTATGCTGCATCCTCCCTCCTGTTGCGGTCTGGCCACAGCGCCTCATCCACATCACAAGCAATGTTGTCCCTGGCCAAGCAGCGGGGGAAATATCTCCCAGCATGGCGATTCCAGCCATGAAAAGAATCAGCTGCTATATCTCCACATGCGTCCTCTTGGAGAAGAGGTTTACGCATTTGTGGCTGTCGGTCATACACCTTCCATCTCCACGCAGGAAACAATTCCTCAATGGGATTGAGACATGGAGACTATGGAGGGAGATAAACAACTAAAAAGTGTGGGTGGCCAGTGAACCAGTTACGAACCACAGCAGCCCAGTGGAAACTTATGTTGTCCCAAATGACAAAGTCCCTGGACTGTTCTGGACCATCTACCTGGTCTGGTGGAATGAGTGTGTTGTGTAGGGTGTCCAGGAATGTGATCAGATGGGCGGAGTTGTAGGGGCCAAGGGTAGCATGGTGATGGATGATGCCATGGTAGCTAAGCGATGCACACATTGTGATGTTCCCTCCGCGCTGGCCAGGGACGTCAACAATGGCACGCTGGCCAATGATATTCCTTCCCTTCTCGTCTTTTTGTGAGATTGAATCCAGCCTCATCAATGGAGATGAACTGGTGCTCCCCTGCAGCTGCCTCTAGCTCAAGGACTCTCTGAAACACATATGACAATATCAGAAATAAACATGGAGTGGTCACTAGTGTGAAGCACAATCATTATGATTAGAATATTGAAATATGTATAATTTACTGCACACAGTGCTGAGTGTATGCATCAATTGCGGGACTCACTTGCACATAGTTATATCGCAGTTCTTTGACTCTTTCTGAGTTTCCTTCAAATTGCACGCTGTTGAACTGTGGCTCGGATCTCATCAGAAATTACGGTCCTTGGTCTTCCTCATCCTCATCCTCCTCCTCTTACTCTCACTCCTCTGGCTCTGCCTCTGTTTCCAAAGTTGGCATCCATTGCTCCAACACAGAAGAGCTCACCTGTTGCCCTTTTATGCTAAAGTTCTGTTTGCTGATTGTAAAACTGTATGACAGGTGTTTGCCCTTGTGAAGAGTCAGTGTGCACATTTGAATAGCTGTGTGTTCCTTGTGAGAACAAGATAGTTCCTGTATGAAAATTGTGCCAACAGCAGAGAATTGTGTGTAGTGTTCTGAGAAAAGTGTGTTTTAGATTTGAACTTTGAGTGCAAAGCAGGAATTGTGTTTGTAGTTTCGCAAAATTGGTTAGGGGGGTTGGTTACTTGGTTACATGTTGTGGTAATTGTGTCTCAAGCACCAGAAAATGTGTGAAATGAACCCGCTTTGTCCACGTAGGGTCGGGGGGGGCTATCTCCAGCAGTCAATGGGCAATCAGGCGGGAGGCACAGGACAAACAAACAATCACACACACACACACACACACACACACACACACACACACACACACACACACACACACACACACCCTTAAGGACAATTTAGACAGACCAGTCAACCTAACAGTCATGTTTTTGGACTGTGGGAGGAAGCTGGAGAACCCGGAGAGAACCCACGCATGCACAGGGAGAACATGCTAACTCCATGCAGAAAAATCCCAGGCTGGGAAGCGAACCCAGGACCTTCTTGCTGCAAGGCAACAGCTCTAACCATTTGATTTGTGAAACCAGAATGATTTATTTGTTACATTTTAAACAAGGAGCAATAATACAACATCAATAATAAGTGAGGGAAGCACCAGCCCTTTCCAATCCTCCTTCACACGCTTGGTCTTTTCTTTTGCCCTGATAGTTAAAAACTCAGATAAAAGATCAACATAATTCATCAAAGTTGTATTTAGCTACACAAGTTTTTAGTTTTTAATCTGCTGCTGAACCTGTACCTGTGGATTTAGGCTCGGGCTGCACACCCATTTCACAATTTTAAGAAAATCCACTTCAGCCTCTTTGCTTTAGAATTACTGAGTAACCTTTTAATGAAGCTGATGAAAACGTATTACCTGAGTTAGTTGTTATCAACAATGAATGCAGGTTTGAGTCAGTAACAGCACATTCTGACTCAGTGTTGACTTTCATCCAGAGAAACCCCTGCTGTTGCACAGAACGCTGGTGGATTATATTCTGGTTATTTATGTCGTACCAGTCCACCACCAGTCACCCCAAAGCACCACAGCAAGTCCAGCTGGCACCTGGACAGATCCCAATTCTGTTTGTTACAAGTGAAACTGGAAAAAAGAAAAAATGGTGCAAAAGTCCCTTAATGTCAGTAAATGAACCTAAAAGGTGAAACTCTTCTATGAGACAGACTTTGTTTGTTATAACGGTGATGATTATTATGTCTTACAGCTGATGAAAACCCCACATTTAAAATCTCACATAATTAGATTATTGTGAAACGGTTCAATATTCTAGACTCAAAGTGTCATACTCTAATCCAGTAGTTCACAATCCGGGGCACCCAATGCCCCCAAGGGGGCCCCCACAAGATTGCAGGGGCTCCCCATAATTGTGTCTGTGCTGAGGTTGTGAGGTTACCAAGATCATATTTGTAAAAAATACATTTATAAATATACATTAACACAATAGTATAACCAAAACTCTGTGTAAGAGGCAAAGCTGTTTATGACTGTATAACGTTTGTAATTATTCGCTTTAAAATGTGTGCATGCAGGTTGGAGTGGGGGTGGGGGGGGTAGGCTTGTCTTGGACACAGGAAAGGGGGTCCTCGTGAAAAAAGTTTGGGAACCTAGTCAGCTAACGAATCCAGAACACCTGTGAAGGGTTCCGGAGCCTTTAGATGGTCTCGCAGTCTAAACTGGATTACAAACATAAATAAACTGACATCATATTCTCATTTTCCAGTTTCAGCTGTAGATAGCCTGATTCAGTAAATAACAAAACAGCTGCTGGTAAAAAGTAAACAGTTTCATAACCTGCAGCAGCTCACGTATTACAACCATAACCACAAAAACCTCGGAATTTTGCATGAAAACCAAGAAAGCATGAAAGGTCTGCAGATGAGTCTGCAGGCAGCAGAGGTGATCTGAGGACAGTCGGACTTACAGCAGACCCGCTCCACGGTGGACGTGTGTGTGTTGGCGCAGCGCTTAATGAATGAACTTGTTATTTTACTCATTCCTCTCCTGCTTTGCTCCACAGTTCAGCCGAGGACAGGCAGCTATTAGAAAGCCTCCCAGTGCAATAACTGTGGACTCATGCTGTGTCACCGTCTGTGTGTGGTGTGTGTGTGTGTGTGTGTGTGGGGGGGGGGGATCTTCACGCTGACATGGGGGTGGGGGGGTCTTCATTCATGTAAAAGTGTGTGTGTGTGTGTGTGTGTGTGTGTGTGTGTGTGTGTGTGTGTGTGTGCGTGCGTGCGTGCGCGCGGGCGTGCGTGCGTGCGTGCGTGCGTGCGTGCGTGTGTGTGTGTGTGTGTGTGTGTGTGTGTGTGTGTGAGAGAAAGAGAGAGCGTGCATGAACAGCTAAATAAAAACACCTTGTTTATCAGATATTTGCTGAGCTTGCAGGTCTTTGTCCTATTAGGGGAATTATAATTGTTGTGTTTACCTACGCAGATTATTCATGTCACCTGTGTGTGTGTGTGTGTGTGTGTGTGTGTGTGTGTGTGTGTGTGTGTGTGTGTGTGTGTGTGTGTGTGTGTGTGTGTGTGTGTGTGTGTGTGTGTGTGTGTGTTCATACTCTGGAGGTCAAAAAGACTTACAAGCATTTTGCTCGTTGGGTACAAACTGTGTCAACATTCCCAACACACGGAAAACAAATCCATGTCATCTGGAATGTTTTCATTGGAGATCCTTCAAACAGGCGTGAATTATTAAACTTCTGTCAGACGTATTTTGGATGGAGACATCCCAGGGTTATGGGTTGTCCTACACAGGAAATTATGGAATTCTGTGAAATCAAATAACTCCCTGTCCTTGATCCATGATAAACATAAACTCGACTGGAATGTCGTGGTGTGAAAGGTGATTTAAGGATCCCAGCCTCAGAATAAAACCACGTCGTGTCAGAGAAATTCTCACAACATTCCTACAAACGGACCAGAAGCCAGACACTTCTGGTTCAAGTAGACATAAGATTCTGGGTTTTCTAATCCCAGTCACGAGACATTTATTTTATTCATTTAACCTTTAATAAACCAGATGAGTGGATGGAGAACTCAATCAATTCAAGTTTATTAATATGGCGCCAAATCACGACAAGAGTCGTCTCAAGGCGCTTCACAAAGTAAATACTCCAACCAGGGGCCTCATTTATCGAGCTTGCTTACGCACAAAACGGGGTCGGAAAACTGCGTAAGCAACTTTCCACGCAAACGTTAGGATTTATGAAAGAAAACTTAGTGGAAAAATGTGCACAACTTTAAGTTGACTAAGGACCTGGCTTACACACCTGTTGGACATGGAGAGCACCTGCAGTGCTGCTGCTGAGAAGGATAAATTATGAAATCCTGCAGCATTATCACTTGTACTGCTTCCTGTTCACACAGAACAAGACCCCCCCCCCCCCCCCCCCCCCAATGTTCCTGCTTCTGCTTGTGAAATTGCGCTTCCTTGATCTGCAGTCGCGATCTTAATGGCGGAGCGCTGCAACAGCCGGCTTATGTATATGCATGAGATCCACTTCACCCTTTGCATTGACCATTTATGGCAGAAAGTGGGCGTGATGGGGGCAGGATGGGATTAAAAAACAGCTGAGCACATTCCTAGAAAGTTTGTGATTTATAAAGCGGAGATTGCGTGAAGCTGTGCATACTCCATGTTTTATAGATCACAAACCTATTTGGTGTAAGGACATTTTTTTGCTGAGCTTAAGTACGGTTTTAGTAAGGATTCTACGCCATGTTTTATAAATGAGAGCCCAGTTCATTAAGCCAATCAGTTTCCTATATAAGGAACCCAGCAAATTGCATCGAGTCACTGACTAGTGTCATAGTCTTCACAGCAATCCTCATACTAAGCAAGCACATAGCGACAGTGGAGAGGAAAACTCCCTTTTAACAGGAAGAAACCTCCAGAGGATCCTGGCTCAGTATAAGCAGCCATCCTCCACGACTCACTGGGGATGGAGAAGACATTTAGTAAGAGATAAACTTTATTGTATTTATCCTAGTGAATCTACAATTAAACGGGTAAACTAGCAGTAGCACATTCAATGTCAAAGAAAGTAAAAAGTTATCAGGAGAGGGAAAAAGTTTAAGTGGTTAGCAGCAGTGTGCTAGCCGATGGCCCCCTCCATGAGGCCACCACAGCTCAGCAAAACACCATTGTAGCTTCTTCTAAAATAGCAGAAAATTATGCAGTTGAAGAGCAGATTGTAGAAGAAAGTAGTCGAGTGTGAAAAGTGGTCAGTGTGTCCTCCAGCAGTCTAAGCCTATAGCAGCATAACTACAGAGATAACTCTGGATAACCTAGCCTTTTACATGGAGGCATGTTGGAGGCAGGGCAAGGGAGAGCCGTCTTTACCGACTTTACACTCCACCTCCTTCTACTCCCCCACTTGTCCAGATCTAGGCTAACATCAGATTTTAACCATAGGCCCTATCAAATAACAATGTTTTAAGCCTAGTCTTAAAAGTAGACAAAGTGTCTGCCTCATGGATTAAAGCTGGGAGCTGGTTCCACAAGAGAGGAGCCTGATAGCTAAAAAATCTGCCTCCCATCCTATTTTTAGATATTTTGGGAACCACCAATAAACCTGCAGTCTGAGAGCGAAGTGCTCAGTTAGGAACGTATGGAACAATCAGATCACTGATGTATGATGGAGATTGATTATTAAGAGCTTTATGTGTGAGAAGAAAGATCTTAAAATCTATTTTGAATCTAACAGGCGGCCAATGTCATGGTCTGTGTCTGTGTCTCCCTCATGTGTCTCCTTGTGTTCTCCTTCCCTCTCTAGGTTCTCCTTATGTGTCTCCTAGCATCCTCATGTGTCCTTGTCTGCATCATCCTCATTTGTTCCCTGATCTGCAGCCCCTCTAGGTTTTCCCCCTCCCCAGGTATCCCCCCAGGTCCGTTGCTCCCGTGGTCTCCCTTAGTCACACCTCTGTAGTTTTTCTTTCTGTAGTTTTTTCCTATAGGTTCAGCTTTTCATTTATTAGTCTCTTTTAGTGTGT